AAAGACAATTTAATATTTGTATTGATTATTTGTATAAAAAATAAATGACTTGTAGCTTTAAAACCAATTACATTAAATAGAAAATAAAACTTGAAGAAGCTGAATCATTATAATAATCAAAACAAAACAAAATCGTGAGAGATTTTTTCATCAATAAACCCTATAATCATGATTAAATGGATATTATATAAGACATCGTAGAAATCAGTAAGTACATTATACATGTAAGTTTTATATCCATCAGCTTTTATTTAAAGCTGAAAAATCTTTTATGAAATACAGTTCTGGGTCACATTCAATGTCAACATGTACATTGGTACTTTTACTGACTAAGAAATCAACAAGGCAATAAGCTTAACCTTTTTGGAACATCTGATACCACTTTTTACATCAGGGCTTAAGTTGGAAAAAGATAGGTTTCCAGGCAATGAAACAGTGCTATCGCATATCTATTCTTTTGTAGGTACATGTAATGGGAGCATTCCTAAGTCACCAACAAGATACTACATGTACAAATTGAAACAAGAGTCATAATTCTAGCAGTACATGCAATTAATGGAAATTCCATAGGCTTCTTCATTTCACTAATTTGAATAATGCACGTAAATCTCATACATATCATATGTCAACTGTTGATAGAGCATTCACCAGACACTACAATGTGAAACATTGGCCATAACTCTAGAGGTATTCAATGACACGTGTTGAAATTCAGTAGTATTCTTCACAGCACTAATTTGAATGATGCATATCAATTTCATACAGATATGATAAAAATTTGTGTTAAAAAAAGCATATAATCTCATGTAACTCTTGTCATTTGTGCATTTACAAAATTCTAAAAAGTGAAACGAGGACCATAACTCTTAAACGTCATTAATAGAAACTGTTGAAATTCAATAGAAATCTTCATCTCAGTTTTCATAAAGATGGGTTGTCAGGCAAAGAAACATACGCCCCCAGCAGCTAAGTCATCCAGGCAGTACATTTACAACACACTATGTACAAATTTATAAGAAGTCTGAACTTTTTATAAGAACTTTTTAAAGTAATAATAACTTTTAGTATCGTTAATAATTTTGAATTTATCATTAAATATAGGACAATGTATGTGATAGAACTGGTTAAACACATTCCAAATATAATTTTAACACAGAGATCATTGCTACGATATCTGACAATTCCAAAAAATAATTGAATGTCACTAGATACACATGTAAGAGAAATGAGAAAAATAGAAAAGGCATGTACATTCCTTGTGTTCATTCATTCTATACTTAAAGGGGCATTATGGTAGATTAGATAAAGAGCTGGCAGTTCTCACTATAATAGCTAAAGATAGGTTGCCAGACAACGAAACATACGCCCATAGCAGCTAAATCCTCCGGGCAGTCAACAAGAGTTGTCGCATATTTTTACTTTTTTCGGTAATGAAACATTTATAATACACTAAAATCTGATTAAGAGTAACAACTCATTAAGTAATTATCAGAAAATCATTAGAATTTGTCTGTCCCATGCCAACGTTTGGTATACAAAACATTTAATACCATGGATTTAGCTGTTCAAGCCATAAAAATTCATTGAAAATCAATATACTTGTTCAGCTCAAGACCTTAAACTCTGTGTATCAACCTGAAGTCAATCGGATGATAACTTTAGCCTCTAGAGCGTCACAAGATTTTTCAAAGTGATCAAGGACCATAACTTTGGCAATAATTATCGGAAGTCGTTGAAAATCAATATGATTTTTCGTCTCATGACCTCAATCACTGTGTATAAATTTAAAGTCAATCGGATATCAACTTAAGCCTCTAGAGCATCCACAAGATTTTTAGAAGGGATTAAGGGCCATAACTCTGGCAGTAATTATCGAGAAGCGCTGAAAATGATTATACTTCTTCGTCCCATGACCTTAAACACTGTATAAATTTAAGGTCAATCGGATATTAACTTTAGCCTCTAGATTGTCCACAAGATTTTTCAAAGTGATCAAGGGCCATAACTCTGGCAGTAACTATCGTCAATTCCTGAAAATCAATAGGCTTCTTTGCCTCATGACCTTAAACCCTGTGTATAAATTTAAAGTCAATCGGATATTAACTGTGGCCTCTAGAGCGTCCACAAGATTTTTGGAAGTGATTATGGGTCATAACTCTGGCAGTAATCAAGGTACATGTAAATACACCATTTCTCTATATTTTGGCGCTTAAATTTCATACATACAGAGTTTTATTTCTGAGAGTAGTTAAAATCAGGATGGTCCCTTTAATTTTTAAACAAAACATAAGATCTAAAATTGTATTATGCCAATCACTTACAGTTGATTCCCTTCTTTCCAAATTAAAAGTGGCATTTAATCCTTAATCAGCTTGAAAATTGTAATATGATTTGAGAAATCTCATCAGTAAATATTATCTTTATTAATTTCAATATTCAAGTAATATTAAGATTGATATACAGATTACATGTACTGTTATTAATTTTAGAGTGGTAATTTGGCACTATGGAAATCAGTGCCGGTTTGCCAAATGAAATTACATGTAGGCTACATGTACGGTCAGGTTTCATATTTATTACTTAATTGACTAATGCTGTGTTAATGAAAATAGTGAATAAAGCAATACAGTATCTGAGTGTAGGTTATTATCCATACCATACATCTACATGGATGTTCCATAAGTACGTGTAATGGTCCTCAGATAGCCATTTTCAGATTTTCATTTTTAACTTTTATATGTACAAATGATTATATTTTCTAGCTTAAGGGCATTGAGTATGCACTAACTTTTCAAAACCAATCTTTTTAGAACTTTGCTAACTTGTTTCATGCGTAAAATAACCCAGAGGACACATACATGTAACAGTCCGACTGTTTGTTGCGTAATAATGGATCTATAAAAGCAGTATCCCCGACCTAGATCAGTTCTTGAATAATTTATTTCGTTATACACACCGTTCACGTCATCAGCAGTTTCACACTGGATCGTTGACAGCTAAGTCGTCCAGGGAGTCAACATGGGTTGTAGCATATTTTTTTTTTTTTTTGTCAGTTCTAGTTCTGCCCTATTCTAACATTTAGCATACAATTAGAAAACAATTAATATCAATTGCCATCGCAAAATCATTGAAAATTGACAGGCTTCTTCGTCTTGTGATCTTAAACACAGTACTAAAAATAAAGTCAATCGGATATTAACTTTAGCATCTAGTGATCAAGGAAATTGTTGAAAATAAATAAGACTTCTTTGTTTCATGACCTTAAACACTGTGCATAAATTAAACTTCAATCAGAATTCAGAAATTAACTTTAGCGTCTACAAGATATTCATAGTGATCAAGGGTCATAAATCTGGCAGTAATTATCGGAAATCCTTGAAAATCAATAGGCTTCTTCGTCACATGATCCTAAAGACTGTGTATAAATCTAAAGTCAATCGGATATTCACTTCAGCATCTACAGCATCCACAAGATATATCTTCGTCTCATGACCTTAAACATTGTGTAAAAATTTAAAGTCAATTGGATAATTACTTCAGCGTAAACAAGTTTTTTCAAAGTGATCAAGGGCATAACACTGGCAATGATCATCAAACTAGGTCATTTCGGGACTAACAAATGGTTCAACTTTATTTCAATAATTCGATTGCGCTTGCGGGTCTTCAGCAGTGGGTGGAAACCGGAGGACCCAGAGAAAACCCATGAGGTTGGACAGGCGACCCTACTCCTTGTCACTTACAACTGAGGAATTGAAACCATGCCAGTTGACTCAATGACAGACCTTATAATACAGCGTTCACATGCTAACCATTCGGCCATCCAACCCACTCTGGACTGACAGAAGGTTACGACGACAATATACAACCACATTTCAATGTGGGTGTATATCTTTTCAACTAAAATTACAGTGCTAGCTTTAAAATGTGCATTTTAGACTGCTCAACGCCCTTAATTACTGTGTATGGTTCTTGAAAATAATACCATAATTTCAGTATTGGAATTAGTCGAGAGAAACCCACGGTAAGTCACAAGACCGAGTTTATAAGGTCTAGGAAATAAGTGAAAAGTCTGCAATTTTGGCAATAAAAAAGTTGGTCGGATAACTGTAAAGCGTGTATATTGGCCTGTCTACTGTGTATTAATACTGTGTATGACTGTTATCAGTATAAACCTATAACATATCTATAATCTCAGTGATGGATTAACAAATGATTTGTCTCAATTTTGCATACAGTGTAATTTAGGAAAATGATTTTACAGGGTATTGGTGACCACTACTTTTTGTTTGTAATTGGTAATTACTAGTATTTAAGCTAATACAAACTGACAAGAACCTTGAGAATTTCCTGTAAGTATATTTTGTTGCTATAGGATATAATTAATTGAATAAAATGGACTTATTAACTTGTCTGACCTTCAAACAATTAGCTTATGGGTAAAATACACTCTCCACGGCTGAAATTTGTTTATCACTGTTCTAATTATCTCATCCTCGACTTTATTCTTTAAAACACACTTTCATCTTTCTCTATTCATAAGGATGGAGGATAGTGAGGGGTCTCATACATGTAAATGGAATATTTAGATTGCGTACAAGAGTAAATAAAGTGTGACTAAATTTTGATAGGGTTTCTCCTGACGTTTAGTCTGTAACAATTCATAGTTTTGAAAACATTATGTCATAAACTCAGATCTGTAGCATACTGGCAAGAATTGTGAATGGACAGACAGGGGTGGCTTCAATATACATAAAAAAACTACTTGACAAGTAAATGTACATGCATAACAAGCCGAATTAGTATCTAGAAGCTTTTTTAATCCACTACAGAGATTTGCAACAGTTCCATTATGTAAATAAGTAAAGCTTTCACCACAGTAACAAAATTCATTAGAGTTTTAAGATAAGAACTGGCATTAGAATCTGTCAACAATATGCCTGGCTTATATAGTGGTGAACAGATTCTAAAACCTATAGGCAATATGTTTTTTATAAACTTACGTCATGCCAGGGTCTCGATCCATCGGACTCATCATTAACTGACCCGGCATTCTCATTTGCATAGGTATTCCTTCCAGAGTGATAGTTGACTGAACACACCCTAAACTTCAGAAAATGGAACCGCTTGTTTCACTCTGACCTCACTGTCCAAACCTTCAGTAGTTTCAGATTTAGGAACCTTCACATCTAAAATTACAACAATAACAAAGTGAATGACCAAAGGTACCTGTAAAAGGCCGATACATATGCTGTAACTAATACACTAAATCTTTGTCTACAAATATTCTCTAAATTATCACCATCACCTAATCTCCTCAAGTCCCTCCCCTTGATCTCCTCACCATAGATCTAAACTCCACCTTCCCATTATCTCTACCCTCCCAATTCCACCAAGCACCACTATTTTCTCCATTCCTTGATATCCTTATTCTACCACTTCCTTTGATCAACATGTATGGTACTTTATTGTCCTCACTAGATCACAATTCTCTTCGTACCTTTGATCTTCTTTCTCCCTTCCCTCGATCTTCTCTTTTCCTCCCCTTGTGCTAATCTCTCTTTCGTCCACTCACCTGTAACTCTCACCTCCCTTAATCTCATCTCTATTCTCCCCCTTCCATCTACATTTATTATTCCCCTTCCCTTGAATTCCTTTCTACTCTCTCGCTTCTCTTGAATTGCTCTCAACCTTTCCTCAATCTCCTCCGCACGCTCTCCCTTCCCTATTGTCTCCCTTAATGTCCTCTCTACTCCCTGCCCTCCCTTCCCCTGACTTCCTCTCTACTCTCCCTCAATCTCCTTTGTATATCCATTCCTTCTATCTACACTAGACTACATGTACCACCCTTCACTTGATATCAAATAGGTACATGTCCATCTCTGCTCTTAACTTTAACATTGCAAATTTGAATTGGTAATTTATTCCATAAAAACGGTGCTTGTATATAGAATGACCAGTTATATGTACCATAAAATGATACTGTATAATTTAAGGGGATTGTATACTGTAAAAGTACCGGAAATGAATCGTAGATTTCTTGTGGGTTTATAGTATTCAAGAAGCTCAGAAAATTAGAGCGGGGCCAATGTACATGTATTCAGCTATTTAAACACTACTAACAATATTTTGTATTCTATTGTGTATTCTATTATGTATTCTATTATATGTATGCTATTGGTAGCCAGTTTACAGAATATAAGACAGGGGTGATATTGATATGAAATAAGCATTTTGTTGAAGAAATTGTGCCGCCGAGTTTATCTACATGTATGACTTTAATAGCCTGTTCAGACGCTTAAGTTGAACTGATAAGAAAAAAAACGGGGATCGTTAAGCCAGTTTCACTTTGTCGTCTGAAAGCAAATGTGGGGCAAATAAACCAGTTTAAAACCCCCAGCTCGTGACCTGTCTTTGAGAAGGCTTTTTATTTTAAACTGGTTCTTCTTGGCCGTCTGAACAGGTTGGCTATAGAACCCCAGCTCCAGCTCCCTTTGGACATGAGCAGTACACATAAGTTACATTCCTGGGAAAGTGGCTTCATTCAGTGCCAGTCTTATCGAAAGTGTGCAAGAACTGAATAAATAATATGAAGCTACCTATGCGTAGTTAACTCTAACCTCCGACCGATGAGGTCAGAATAGTTAAACTGGCTTAGCTTATAGAACGTGTGAACGCAACACGACCCTGTCTTTAAAACCTTGTCGATTTTGAATGGGTTTAAAAATATGCGCCTGAACGGTAGGCCTATATAATAAGTGACTGGGGAGTTACAATTATTAAGTTATAAATGGACCGTCTAAAGATCTAGTATCAACTTTTATCATAATCAGAAAATGGGGGACCATCTTTTTTAAACATGTATTTGGCACAATGTTTGTAGTCTTAGGCCTACTTTTTTTTTTTTCTTTTAAATAAATCTAAATATCATTCCTGGTGGCAGGTGAAAAAAACCCAAAGTATTTGTTTAATGGTACAGGTGAGTTCATATTACATGGTATTGGTTATTATTCAACATGTCATATTTTTGATTATGACCTATATTTTGAATAAGTATCAAACAGTAGCCAATTAAGTAAGTGTGCCGAGGTTGTATTGTTTAGTTATACAAATGTCAACAATGTAGAACAATGTTCATAAATAAAAAAAAATATTACAATATAATGTACAAATTATTATCTTAAAAGGTGCATGAAATAATTAATACGTCCCCATTTCAGTCCAGAAGAAGTATAATGAGTGATTTTGGACAGTAGTGGCAGGCATTTTTCAGTAGCAATTAGCATCTCCGGAATAGCAGATTGCCACTCAGCCTGGGCTTTTGTCAACAAATCGGGAATTACCCTGTTATCAACGCTTATTACAATGGAATGATCCTTTGTTAAAAACTGCTATAAAAATACTTACAAAAAGGCTTCGACTAATTGCAAAATGTACACTACGCGCTGAGTAAATAAAATTTTCCTTTTTCACAAAATTCGATCGATTCAGTCAAAGAGAGAGAAATCAGACATTAACATGGCATGCTGGGAAGGGTTATCCCGTTTTTATATTCTATTTTTAGATATGTAGGCTCGATCAAAACCTTGTGATGCCAATCAATAGAAAAATTGGTGATCGAGACTAGTATCAATGGTTTTCTTCACGGGGCAAGACTGGCTAAATCTATTTGTTAAGGCCAGCTCAGTTTTGGTCAAGGTCGCTGAGATGTAAATAAGGCTAGGACACGTAATTGTTGGCGAGATTGTAGGTTAGGGTTAAGACAAGCATTGTGACTAGGTCCAGGGTTAGGGTTAGGATTGGGATTAGCGCTAGCCCTGTTTACATCTCGTGACCTATGACGAAAAATTGAGCTGGCCTTATCATTTAGCACTCAACGGACTAGGTTGCAGGCGAATACATGTATAATGAAATGACATCGTTTCTTTTTATATAAACTATCTTTAACTAAATATACCAAGCCTTATTCATAGGTTTTAAAAAAAATAGTATAAAAAAAAAAATCAGGAAACATATAAATCTATTTTTCAATCGCTTTGAATTTAACTTTCACTCCTAATTCTGCATTGAAGGGAGGCAACTTCGTTTTAGAAACTTTCCCCTTGCCTCTTGCTTCCAAGAAATATATGAACCCGATAGGCCAACCTGAAATGTTAAACGGTCATCCCCATTTTGCGTTGTAATACCGAAAACATGGAGGAAGGAGATACTGCGCTTCAAAATTGGAAGATTGGAGATTTCAGCAGTACTGCCCCACTTTTGCTATTATCTAAATATTTTGCAATATCTTTTAAAATGGTTAGTACAAATAAACAGTCTTTTGCTGCCAAACAGATACCCTAAAACTAAGAACTACCAATATCATTCTCAGCTAAATGTTTTAACAGTATAAAATAATTTCTTTTTTTTCGGAATTGGACTATCTTTTAAAACCCCACTCCAGCACTTAAAAATTGTCTCAGAGGTCCTGCTTACGAACTAATGACGTACAAAAAAATCCAGTCTTTTAATGGCTGCCCTACTCCATTGAAATGGCTAGTGGCGTAGACAATACAAAAATCACATAGAAATATGTTGGCATAATTTTAATTAGCCCATGCAGTATTTAAACCATATTGTCCCTGTTTTTGTTGATTTTTTGGTCTAGAGGTGAAGAAGAGGGTTTGAATTAACACTTAATTGCTGTCAGGTTTTTCTAAATATTCATGATTTGGAGCTGGGATGATAACAGAGTCACAGATTGATTACGGTTATGTACAGCGAAAAGTTAAAAAGGGCACATAAGGTAGATGTGGAAACTTTTCGGTACGTGTAGCCAATGGTTACTGTATCCACTGTACGGCAAGTTCACACCAATCTGATTGAAATTAATTCAGCTATCTTCACTCGAAGTCGCAAAAATAGACCTTCCATAAAACCGACTTTGCCAATTATCGAAAAGACTCTTAATCCCCTCAGACGCCAGTGACGTCACAGTGACCGAACGCATATTCGGAATGTTTATTCCTTAATTAACTATATACAGCCGGCGCGTGTATTCATTAACGCCTGACTGGTTCCTTAATCCCATTAAATAAAACAATTGACTACGAAATAATTTGTTTTATAATGTCCCGCCCTCTCTTCTCACGACAGCGATTTTAATACTGTGTTTTAAAGTGACTTTTTGATAGAGTCCCTCTTCCATCATGTGCAGTCCAAATGATTCGAGATACATTTTCGTCAGACGAGTATTGTGGTTCTAATTTCCCGAGTAAAAAGATGTGGTCAAGCAAAATGTGTCATAAAAGTCAAACATGTTTGAAACGCGATTTGTAAATGACGATCCGTTATCAGAGTAGCCAACTGTATCTCGTTTTCATGTAGCCATCGTACGGCGCCTTTCTTTCTGCATGTTGATTTAACTTCATTACTCTGAAATAGACCGTAAAAATATCTCAATATACGTTAGAATTAACAGTACAAATAAATTTTGTTGGTAAATGGAATAACAGATTGAGAAGGGTCATCTAACTATCTTTGTGTATTGATAATAATATGGCAAGTGTAGTGTCGTTTATTCTGTCATTAATCAATCCGACTAAAGTTGCACAGACGTGGGGTCATAAATTAATTAAGAATGCTGATTAGGTAATTATCTTTTTTTTACGCCGGCCAGATCAAAGACATTACTCTAGGTGGAACGTGTGCGTAATACCCCATCAACGAACTAATCGTAGAATCGTACGCACGTTAATTGTATAAATAATTAAGTTTTACTCATCAGTTGTTTATAATTATTATTTACCCAATAATTATTGCTCACCGATGTTTTTGTAATAAAGTAGCCTCGTATTATTTGTCGATTGGCGTTTAAACAACATTTAATTGACTTGATATGACATCTGAATATAAATTGTTCGACGGATAAACGTTTATGATACGATTAGGTTAAAATGTCTAACATCGTTTAACTTCTTTATAATAAAAGTATTTTACAATTGCACTGTGGAGAGCCATACGCAAAGAAAACTCTAATGGAATGCTTACAACTTTTAAACTTTTGATGTCTTGAACTTTTAGTTAATTTTTAACAACATGGAACTTATTTGACGAACACTTTTAATATGTAAGTTGTTCAAGCCCTGACGATTATACATATACGAGACTGTGGTCGGTTGTCTTTCGGTTTGCTTTGAGACCAGTAAAATTAATATACTTTTCGCGCACAAAAGTAATACATTCAAAGCCGTTTATGAAGAGGCAGATTCAGAATCAGGCATATAAAAAGAGCAAGATGATAAAACCACTAAATGACCATGATATTTTTCTAATTTTTAAACATATCCTTGAAGATAACATATTGGCGTCTTCCCTTCATCTTAGCAATACGCTAAATCATCTAAAATAAAGATCCGGGGTAATGGTAATGGAAAGTAGGCCTCATTATTACATTTTTAAAGTAATGGTCAAATAATGAATAATGGAAGACTTCAAAAGTAATGGAAATATAAATAATTACATGTATTGGTCAATTACATTTCAGTTACTTTTCAATTTTATAGTACATATCATTATTTCCAACTATGAAAAACCTAAAATGTTAGCTTCAAAGAAGTAAATTAAGTATACATGTATCTGACAAAATTCCAACTTCAAACATGTGTAGATTTCTAAATAGATGTAGATTGTAATCAAAGTTCCGTGTTAATAGTGTTAATAAGCATTCAATCATTCAGTTAGATTTGTAATAATATAGGGGTTATTTTAATTCTATGAAAGGTGCTGTGTTTTATATATTGAAGTGGTTTAACAAGTGGGTGACAACGAGAATGGGTTAAGTAGGTATTTTGCAAGATTCGACTTTCTTAGATTAACCCACAGACAGTCCTTGCCAACTACAGAAAGAAGGGTACTATCTGCTAGTCATCTCGTGCACAGATTAGTCCAATTAAATAGATTAATGTTGACGTAAAAACGGTGCCAATAGGAAACACTTACGCCAAAATGGGAATCGCCCCGCCCTAATAGCTGACGCATTTGTACTTTCTATATAAGAAAGAGCAGGGTTAAAGTTCCCTTCAGAAATCATGTGGGCTTCCTAATGAGACATGCCGATAACCGCCTCGGCTTACAGGCCGGACGAGAACATCATAAAGAACTATCAAGAAGTGTGTGGCTCTTGCCACCTTTAGGACTATAAGGTATTTTCGGGCATCATTCAGTGTTCCTAGGGAAGGCAGTATAGAGCGGTCCTAGAGGGACGCTTTTCCGCCTCGGCTTAGAGACTGGGATACCGACATGATGTACGGTTCTTAGAAGGACGTTCTCACTGCTTCCTTGGCGTAGAGGCCGGGACAGGGTCATCATGTAGTGTTGTGTGTCAGCAGTTAGGTATGAGTTCTTGGCTTGTTGAACCTAGACTGTAGGTATTATAATAACTCCTAGTGTACTTTCCTAGATGTTGTAGTTTCCTGTATTTAACCGTCGTATAATGAATGTTATAAAGATATAAAAACATAGTTAAACCAACAAAGGGTTCCAGAATAAATTAATAATTGGAAATAGTTTATACACAACGTGAAGGTCAAAGTTTGTTCCTAATCGATCATAGTAGTCTGGGTTTTTTGAGTTCGTGACCGGGATAGGCACATCTGTCCCCGTAGTGTCACAGATTAAAAGACAATTAGATCTTAATCTCAAAGTAACATTAAGTGGAAAACCAAACAATGTTCTTCAAGCAACGCCTTATTTAATGCTTACTTACAACATGGCGGTCTTGTCGCCTTGTGGTAACCCTTGGTCTACCAGTTCGGGGGCGATCATCCGTGGTGTTGGTGGCTCGAAAGCGTTGCTGAAGCCTGTGGATGGTCCGGACATTGACCTGGAAGTGATTGGCAACGGCTTGGGCAGTGTGGCCAGCGTCTAGTCTTCCAAGCGACTGGTTCCTCTGAGCTGTCGTGAGTCGTGGTATGCTGCTGACGTTGTAATGTGAAGATTCAACCAGGTATTGGGGTAAATTTTATAGGGCTGGTTCCGGTGAACAGCACGCGCAGCATGAGTTACATGAAAATAATGGAGAACACATTACCATCTCAGAAGTCAGGTTGCGTTTTTGAGTACATTTCCTGGGTTCAATATTGTGTTTGGGAATGAACCTTATTTTTCAGGTAAAGTTGGAGATGTGGTCACAAATATACAATAAAAACATTTGGCAAGTTTTATGCAATGCGTCTATTCAGAGTAACACACCAACCTGACGTTTCTTTTGCTGCTTAGTATAGTATATATTTTGTTATTGTTGTTTATTACAGTTTATGTAACTAATGAGCACGTGACTTGTTTCTCATAATGTTACTGATAGTGTTACCGATATTGTTACTGATACAGTCATTTCTTTTTATAGTGATTAAAAGATCTACATGGACCCCCCCCCACACACACACACACACACCCACACACACCACCACCACCACCACCAAATCACCTAAACAACAAAATCAGAAATATGCAAAACATCAAGAAAACAAAAAACAATAACAACAACTCACTCACCAAATCAACAAACCCACAAATTACTAAAACTAACCGCCCCCACCCCCCGAATTTCTATATTCGAAACACAGATAACGCGGTAAAGCAATAAATACAATGCAATTTTTGTGAACGTACGAATGTTATAATCAGATCCAATCACATTCGGGTTATCTGTGTGACACTGTTCGCTTGGGACGTTGTTTTATCTTCAGTTGATGAAGATAACAAGATCACGATAAAACTCCACTAGATCACCAAATCGCCATTATGGCGTATAAATTAATTTGTTGGATATTATTCTTCAATTCATTGATCCTCTATTCAGGTAATAATTCTTAATTTTCTAATTTTTGAGGTGGTGATAAAATGAAACAACCTAATTGTTCGCACTAGACTGAAACTCGTCGTTTTGTTCTGGATGCTTTTAGACTTCTTTCTGTTCTCGAGATAATGTGTTATCAAAAGTAATTCACCTTCCTGTCAAGTACTTGAAATCAACTCGGGGTTTGGTGCCCGCTGTGGTTGTATGGTTAAAAATCAGTACACTTGAATCTCAACCAGAATGCCTCGGTTTCAAATCCCGTGTGGGCTGAGAATAGCACCAACGATTTTTCAAGCCCCCTCTTGTCGGGGTTGGCGACTTGAGGACTGACAAGGAAATGTGTCTAGTCGTTCGGATGATATAAAAAAACAGAGCACGCGCTCCCATTTTCTTCAAAATTACTCTATGCCAGAATGAGTTTTAGGATAGTCCACTAGATTTTTCTAACAGTAATAATCATACCGGAAATGTAATCTCTGTTTAATGTACAATGTGCGTGCATTAAAGGTGAATTGAGTGATACAGCAGTTAATATTTCTATCGTACCCCTTTAGTCCGCGGGATATCTACTCGCCGTCTTTAAAATCCATGTATCCACACTGTGGCATGGCACCAGTAATTATATAGAAATACAAACACAGTCTGTTAGTTTAAACATGAGTTAAGAAAAGTAAAGACAATACGTTTAATCCGATTCCATTCCATTCCCGTATTCGCACTTTAAACCATGATGTCAAGATTTGTTTTTTAATTAAAGATTGTGTTACCTCACCATGTCTGCCAGGTTGGCAACAGTCTGGAAGTAGCTGTCTACTGATAAATAATGGTTATCAGGTCACTCGAGATCAAGCCAGTAAAGATTGTAATAGTCATGACGCAACATTATTACGTTTTGAAACTGGAGATGACGTAGTAAGTAGCATTTCTGGCAACCCACACCAACCCTGATTTCATCTATGACATGAGTTTATTACCCCAACTAACTTGATGTCGTACTGTATTTGAGGTCTTATGTATTATAATCCTATAATCTATCACTTCGTCTGGTACTTAACCCCTAATCGGCAAACTTCTATCTTCTGGGGTAACAGTTCTTTACTCTCCAGCCACACCTTTGTATTCTCTGGGACAACCGTTCATTGTATCCTCTGCGGTAACTCACCTGCAATATCTTTGTATCCTCACTGGTAACCGTTGTCCTCTCTCCCCTCACCAATGCAACATCTTTGTATCATCTGTGGTAACCGTTCTTTATCCTCTGTGGTAACTCACCAGCAACACCTTTGTCTCCTTTCTGGAGACCGTTGTTTCCCATAATAAAGAGATTTAACTCAAAAACGCTATTTTAATGGGCGTAGAATACCATTTAACAGTAAAATCACCATGTGTGTGACAAAACACAGAAACGGAGAAATGACCAAGAGCAAAAGCGGTTAACTAGTAACTTCAATGGTTATGATACAAAATTGATGCTGCCCTAGTCTTATGGAAGTGCATTATTCGCAGCTACTACTGAACGTTTAATTATTAAAATTCACTAAAAAGTGAGGGCAATAAAATATGAAAAATATAATTATATTGTATGATGGTCAATACAAATTTGCCAAAAATATAAGATTTTGAATAGCCTATCGCAATAAGAACTGTTATGAGATTCAAAATTTGAATAATGTTCTTAAACCAAGAATAACAATCTGACTACAAATGTATTTTATTTTAATCATAATCTGACTGTTTGTTTAACTTCTCAGAAGAATAAATGTTGGGTTGTTTTTTCTCAGAAAAGTTTTGTACAGACAGTTAAACCGTTTGGTGTGGATGGTTGGTGGACAGATTTAACTGAAGTCAATCACCCTGGTATATGGACATGGGGTGATAATGAAGAGGTATTCAATGATGCTTTGTAAGTATAGCGAAGGAGCTGGAGTGTTCTAGCAACAAATGATGATTTGTAAGTAGCTGGAGTGTTCTAGCAACAACCCATTCCATCCCAGTACGACATAAAAGAGGTTTGCAATAAAGCCCCTTTAATACACCTTCTAGCAGTCTGCTGTGCTGTACAGTTCGTTTCTGTTACAAAAATAAAATCTAACCAACAAACACAAACTAATGCAATCCGCATTTCAGAAGCAATACTACAGGTAGTTTCTCCATCTCTGCACAAAACAAAATACAAAACATAACACAAGCAAATCGTGACGCTACACACTTGGGTTTTATGGATGTACTGTCTATATTTGTCCTTCTTCATAATACCCATTACAAAAATGAACGATCTTGGTGATATGTCTATTATAGGATCTGGAACCAGGAACCAGATGACACTAGGCATGTAGAAAATTGTGTTTCTATGTCATATGAAGGAAAGATTAGTGATGAGATGTGTTGGCAGAAATTAGGATACATCTGTTCTTATGCTTTACCTTCAAGTAAATATCAATATCAAATATTTTATTATAAAATAATACATAAATGAATATATAAAGGCCGCACTACATTGATTTATCCACCACAGATAAAAATATAATGTATAGGTATAGCGATGTAGTTTCGATCCTGTGTTACCCGTATTGCTTGACATTATAATGCCGACTGCATCCCCCCCTCCCCTCCTCCCCCTCTGGTACAGATATGAAGCACAGTGAATCGATTAATGTGAATGTAAGGCTTACATTCCAGATAATGGGATGGGGTTTTTTTAAATGGTGTGCGTTGTCTTTACTGTTGGTATACCACAGGGCTATACCCCTTCCTTTAGATATAAGAACATGCAGGGCACAAGTACTGTTGCTAGAATACATAGTACCAACTGATACCACCTTCCGTGTATTTGAGTTAATCGCATTGCTTACAATTTAAGTTGCAGTTTTGTATAGATTCTGTTGGTGAATCAGTAATAACCCCCTCACTTCTGTCCTGCAGATGGAAATTGTGCTGATGGTTGGCTAAACTCTGCTACTAAATGTTATTATATCAGTGCTACGGATGACTCCTTTAATGTGCTGACCTGGATGGACGCCCTGGGTAAATGTATGACAATGGTGACTGGACAAACCCCAACTCTTGTCAGTTTCAACTCAAAACAAGAATACGTAAGTTGAATTATATTGTTTTATCTTGGGGATAGCTGATGTCATTATCAATATCATAATCTGAACAATATTACATGGAATTTGGTTCATTTTAATGTTTCAAAAATATATGATCGAAGCGCTGGGCTTTCTATATATCAATATGCAACAATATCTGCTAACAATGTTATACATGTAATATAATGACTCAGGCGACATTTGTGATAGAGCGGTGTGGCCGTTTACTCTTAATTTGTGGAATGTCAACAAATTATATTAAATCTGCAAAATTAATGATGACTTGCTTGTAATATATTTGTTGTTTAAATGACCTAAAACTCTTTGAATTAAGTTATATTATAGAATTGGGTTGATATTGTGTGTTATTTTGCTTAGTGATGGTGCAAGATAGTTATGAAGTGGGGGTAGCATTGTTTACTAATTTAAAATTTAATGTTTGACTGTGTCGAAAGTAGAATACAAGATCAGTTACACCCTAAAATGGACGAGACGACAGATTTCAATGAAGAATGATTGTCATCCCATAAATTAATCCAAAGAAGTCTTTTATGTAAATGATCTGTCATCGAATTTATAATGTATGTTTCAGCAATTAATAAGTCAGTATTTGGAGGTAGCTCAAGTTAGAGATATGAACTGGTGGATTGGCTTAAACGATCAGAATGCAGAAGGAAATTATGTATGGACAGATGGACCAGCTGATTTATCTTTCATGTTAGTAACTTGGATCGTCCTTTTGGCCTTTCTTCACAACTCTTTTCTTAACTGATAACTGGTGTTAACAGCGGGTGTTTTTTTTATCAGGGAGACATGGCAGACTATACCAACCACCTCTGATTATTCATCGGCCCCGTTTATAAAAGTTCCACTTTTCCCTCGGGGCCCGCTACTTAACACCCATAATAAAATACCCATGTTAACAGTAACGTTATGGTATTATTGCTCTCGTTTAAAATATTGTGACTATGAACCACAGAGATCGGGAATGATTCTCGAATAAGAGCTATAACACTGATCTGCAATGTTTTCTTATATCCTCGGTGTAAAACATTCAGGCAACAACAAGTCTATTCAAGCCAGAATCATTTGTCGTCATTAATCAGCTTTTAATCATACTAACTGTTAAAGGGACCATCCCGATTTTAACAGAATCTCAGAAATAAGGGTCCGTGAACGTATGCCATTTAAGCGCCAAAATATAGAGGAATGGTGTATTTACCTTGTCTAAAAATTTCAGCTCAAAATATTGAGTCGTTTGGAGGTGGACGTCAAAACCGTATTTCCGGAAACGTAAACCTTTTAAGAATTCGGGTCAATGTTTTCTTTGTGTGACCTGATAATCTATTGCCGTTCCTTTAGAGGTATATACAGTGCATAAACCACATTCTGTACTTGATACACGTTATTTTTATAAAATAAAAGCCTGATTTTATCCAGACACCGTGTAATACAGCTTGGGACACTGGTCTCCATTTCCAGATGAAGATTTGCGGGTTTAAATTGTTTGAAAACGTATCACGTATACATGTATTGAGTTAGTTGCTTAGCCCCAAGGTAGGGGATTTTGAGGGCTTTTAACAAAAAAATTAAGCAGTTTTATTCTCCAAAATATAATCGAGATTGACCCTTTAAGTGTGACTATTAATTTCGAAATTTTAACAGTTCAAGGTCAGGTTCTTGAATAATGCCCATTGTTTATCTGTCCATACCATCCCTTACCGTAAACAAACTTTATTTTGATAGCCAACCAATATAAACATTAGAGTTTTCAAACGTTGTTTAGAGAAACATGGAGGGTTGTAAGATTTTATACGTTTGTAGATGGCATAATTGTATGTTTTAACTCAAAGATTGGACGAGGTTTTGATTTTTCAAATATTCTACTTTGATGTGACCATTCTTTAGTTCAAATTGACTCATGAGTAGCCTTAATTAATTTCTAGGGTTTGGGATAAGGCTCCCAGTAAGTTGGCACTAAATGAAAAATGTGGTGTTGTACATGGTAATGGTAAAATGTCGTATGGTAAATGTAGCAAAGATCTGAATTATTATATCTGTAAGCTCAAACTCAATAATGGTAAGTTATATATGTAAGCTCAAACTCAATAATGGGAAGTTATATCTGTAAGCTCAAACTCAATAAATTATAAGTCATGTATGTAAACCCAATAAATGGTAAGTCATATCTGTAAGCTCAAACTCAATAATGGCACGTCATATCTATAAGCCTAAACTCAATAAATGGTAAGTCATAACTGTAAGCTCAAACTCAGTAATGGCAAGTTATATCTGTAAACTCAAAGTCAATAATAATTGTAAGTTTTATCTATAAATCAAACTCCATAGTGATGGCGTTGATCTTCAAACAAAACTCGATCCCGGTGTTGGTGGAGAAATGTTCGATGTTAGGTAACAAGGATAAAATGTCGAACTCTGCTTCTATTACTTATTATTAAAATAGCTTCAACCATGCGCAATGCGAAGTATAGTGACCGCACAAGGGGAACTATAAATCATTGCATGCAAACGTGCTAAAATAGTCTTTGATCCAACTTCTTTCTTAGGGTGTATTCATCCACAGGTACCAGTTTATAGACTTCCGAAGAGTGGCTGTTTATTTACGGCTACTTCCGTCTCGACGTCACATAAGCATAAGCCAACTTGTTAGTATGTTAAATGAAATGGGGTTTAACGCCCCATACTGCTCTGCTCGGACTGGGCTGATGAAGACGGCATACGCCATACAGTGTACTATGGGGGAAATTTTACCCAAACAGCGACACCACGGGCTACTCTTATTTCGAATTCCAACTATCAATGGTTCTTTTATTCCTGATGAACTTCTTCGGCCAACATCGGGATCGAATATGTATGCATTGTAGAATTTTGTAATATTAGTAAGATTAAAAGTAGTATTAGTAGCCATTAGAAATATAATAAAACAAATGCAGTGGTGGATGGTTTCATCGGTAACACATAAATAATTGGGATTATTTTTCAGATAATCTAATGATATATGAGGAACTGGGTTGTACTGGTCTTTGGACTAGAGCTGGACATAAGTGTTACTATTTTGTACCAGGAAAAAAAGTTGTTAGGGCTGATGCCAGAAACAAATGTCAACAATCGGGTGGAGATCTCTCTAAGATAGAATCTTTGGATGAAATGGTATGTGTTATTATTATACATCCTATGTATTGTGTACTATTTCCGATCTTGATCTTTTAGAGGCATTTAGTAACTGGATAGAGCAATAAACTATAACACATACTTATGGAAGAATAATCACGTTTCAAAGAGAGATTCTCTCAACGTTTTCAAGCAAGTTCAGTAACATATACTTGAAAACGTTGAGAGAATCTCTTAATTTGTTACTGTACTTGCTTGAAAACGTTGAGAGAATCTCTCTTCGAAACGTAGCCTAAATAAATCAGTAATTGTTGTTCCATAAGTATGTGTTATAGTTTATTGGTACTATTTTCCAGTGTTTAAGAGAGCTGTCCCATATATGCCTCTTACATAGCAATGCGTGTACTGTGTAGTGCTACCTTATCTGAGAGAACTCGTGGTACCTTACATGCCATCGAAAAAATCTAAGATCAAGTACTAAGAACAACCTTGTTGTCACAAAATATAAACTCAGATCCTATGGCGCTCGCCTTTTTGCTGCCCATATGTGGAACCCGCTACCTTAAAATCTTAGACCCAGGGCATCATGTAACTCCTTTATTTACAGATTTATATCATGTGTGAGATATTCTTATAAACCTGTATCCTAGTATAGTGTTACTATATGCATAAAGTTGTGTTATAATATATTGAACATATACAAACTCCCAGTTCTCAGTATTCCGCCACGAGGTTATAGTGGGCTATGAACGATGGCTATTTCGTGGCTTTTCGGCATTTACTTTTCATGCTGAGACGACTCGTTTAAAAACAGATTCTTTTCCCAAAAATATAGACAAAAAATATTGTTGAATGTGCTCTTTGTCGAATCTTGAGTTCAGGAACACTGCATGAATCAGGACCTTTCCAGTGCTACTGTTACAATGTACATTGTTATGTTTCAAGCTGTTTGTGATATTGTTTTGTTTCGAAGTGGTTAGTGGTATTGATATGTTTCACACTGCTTGTGTTATCGATATGTATGTTTCAAATTGCTTGAGGTATTGATATGTTTCAAATTGCTTGCGGTATTGATATGTTAAGGTTTAGCTTGTAGTATTACTTAGTGGTTTTGCTATGTTTGAAACTGCTTGTGATATTGCTATATGTTAAATGATTGTGCCATTGCCCATCTTTCAAATTATTGTGGTATTGCTATGTTTCTAATTGCTTGTGTTATTGTCATGTTTCTAATTGCTCGTGGTATCTCAAATGATTTAACCGCTGTTTTATTTGTTGAAGTATTGGATAACACTACAGACGTTCACAATGGAAGTCAATCATGTGTGGACTGGTTTGTCTAGAAAATCTAAGGGGGCTGACTCATGGTCATGGGCGGACGGTTCAGATATAAATACAGAATATATGTAAGATATTATATTTTTATCATTATCCTTCATTTATGTATATGAATAATGGTCTGACTCTATAACACAATGCACGTGGTTGTTGTCAACTATGTGTTTACCACACTAATTTAATAGTATAAAATATTTTACAGATTTTCATTCTGACATTTGTTTTTAAAGTCAATGTTCGGGAATATGTGCCTAAAGAACAGGGTGGCTGATTGGACGAAATAACTAACACTATTCGTTTATTCGTCTGATTTTAGTTAAAACCAACTTATCAAATTATTTTACTGGATCAGCTCTGTAGCTACACTTTACTGTCCCTAAAAATGATTTTCTTCTATTGAATTTGATATAAAACATGACTACAAGACTTGACATTAAGCAAGGTCTATTTTCTACAAGACTTTATATTAAGCATGACAGATTTCTACATGGCCCGATATCAATCTACAACACATCAAATTACGCATGACCTACTAGTAAGTTCTACAATATTGATATCAAGCTTAAGCATGAACCGTTTTCTACACGTCATTATCTTGATATTAATTATGAACCATTTTCTACAAGAATTTATTACTAATAAGCATAAGCTATTTGTTACAGTAAATGGAATCAGGAACCTAATGATTATTTAGGTACAGAAGATTGTGCTGCTATTAGTATGGATGGTGTTTATAATGACATGTCGTGTTCTAATAAAGCTGGTTTTATTTGTCAGATGACGTCAGTTAGTAAGTTTCCATATCCTTCGATAACACTTAAAAGATCACGCCAACAAGTAGTTCTATAGGGATTATGATATCACAGATCCTACTTCGTTTCTTTTTTTATAGTTCAAAATTTCGTTTTAGTTGTCTTTACTACACTAGAATCTGAAAGAGTTGTTATATAACCCGCATTCTTGCTCATGTGAGGGATTAACCAACGATCTGTTACGGAGAGTTCTTGATGTGCGGTGCACGGAACTGTGGGTAAACCACTAGTAACGTCAACGCTGATTGATTAAACAATGTCTGACGTCATAGGTCAAAAGACGCCCGTATGACCCCTGACACGACCTTCCACTACAACCTGTCAGATCTTTATGTAGTTTAAGCCATCGAAAGTATAAAAAGAAACGAAACGAAATATAGATCTCGGCTTCTGGACCTAGTGTCCGGTTTGTTATGGTATACGCCCCCATTTAAATGTGATCGTATTGCCTTCTTATTGTCCGTCCGCTCGTCCGTCCGTCGGGCCGTCCGTCTGTATGTTTTTCTGTCGACTTCCAATGTAACTACGAAGATTATCATCTGGAAGATGCCCATCAAATGAACACACTGTTTTCTTGAACAATTATTTTCTTATTCCAAATACAAGTGTTCATTTAGATATCTGACCAGCTGCTCGACAACGAACACCTCATTACCAGCATTGTACAGTTTTAATTCACAAACTGTCAGAAAAGAATTGAGGCGCATGAACACAACGGGGTGTAAAATCTTGATGTGAAATGTAGTTTTAGGTGTAAATGGTCATCTATACTGGATATGTACATGTATGGGATTCAGAATATTCAACCCACTGTTTATGCTTCAGAATATTGAAACCCAGAACTGACAATCATTTACTGAATAGCCATTTGTGTATTCGAATGAAAATATAGTGTATTGTTTATTCAGATCGAACTGATGATGAAAATATTTATAGCATATTGTTTATTCAGATCGACTTGATAATGAACATATTTATAGCATATTGTTTTTTTTAGATTGACCTGATAATGAAAATATAGTATATTGTTTATTTAGATTGACCTGATAATCAAAACATAGTATATTGTTTATTCAGATCGACCGTGTCCATCTACTTGGATAATGCCAGATGGTGAAGGTAGTACTTGTTTTTATATCAGTGATACTGATGATAATGTCACTACTACATGGGATGCTGCTAAAGATAAATGTAGTCAATTAGCAGGCGGTGGAGACAGTACTTTATTTGCCCCTCAAAGTGGGGAAGATTATGTAAGTGATGTTAAAAACAATAATTATAATTTCCGAATGAACATTTTGCTTAAAGCGCTGCATATTATTACCTCAGTTTGTAAGATTTCTATGATTTTCTAAACATGGTAAAACTGGATTACACCTACGAGCGTATTAATAAAGACATCTCTGTTGAATTGCAGTGCTGGTACTTTGTCCGCGGTTGCTGATGTGAATGCTCCTTTTTCTAACGGCTTCCCCAATATTTCTTCGTTTGGAACATTACAGAGCTAATAATGTAATTTGTATTTTCGTATTCAAAGACAACCAATGGCCTTTTTTTACAGGCATTTGTAACACAGCAGTTGATGTCTCGTCCACCGGACCCTACTGGTTGGTGGACTGATCTTACTGATTCACAGGTTGAAGGATTATGGGTATACTCTACATCATATTATGGACCACCAGATAGATCTCTTATGTAAGACACAACTTCTCAAATTATTGCTTGTGTGCAGAGAAATTGCAACATCTGTAGCATTGATTCAAGGGTATTACGAAGAAACTGCTGGAATTATCACCATAGTATAGGCTTTTACATCATGACTAGTACCAGCTGAATAACTGGTTATAACATGTTTTCAATTTTTTCGTTAATGGTGGTGTGTTTCAAAGATAACACACCACAGACGTCAGTGACTTGTATCTCGCTGAGTATTGCGAGTTTGGCTTAATATTAAACTGTTTATTATAGAGTATGGCGAGGTGAACCGAATGATTTTGGTGGAACAGAAGATTGTGCTGTAATGTATTATGGTGGACGATATAATGACGTAGATTGTTCGGCTAAATCTAATATACTATGTGAAAAACCGGCCACACCATTTCCAACCACTAGCAATGGTAATATCTTCATTGTTGATCAAATCAAACAAACGTCGAAATAAAAAAAAAACAAATAAAAAAACCAATTGAGCTATTTTGTTAATAGCGCAGCGTTCAGATTTAGTTCTTTGGCCTGGTAAACGTGAGATTCAATTTTGTTTGTAAACTCTGCCAAGGCCATACACACGTATAGTCTTATATCAAATAGCGTATAACTATTGTTTAAAAAAGGTAAGTTGTGGCCATTTGAAGTTTACATTAGTTGTTATTGACGTTAATTATCATATGTATGCGTGTGGAGTTTTGGCATTATCTAAACTACAATTATGGTTTATATTCTAAATTACAGTTTAAATAATCTTTTTTTTTCATCTTTAAATTAAATAATGAAAACAGTTGCTTATATAAAGTGATTAATATTACATGTATTTGTAATCTTATTTCAGGTAACACATTGAAGGCGTTTCAGCATGTATCACTGATAACTACCATGTTCATTGTTCTGATTCAACAAGAATTACTGCCCATCTGTCTCGTTAACGATGCATTACAGAGCTAAATCTGTCTGTTCTTTCGTTTATTTGGACATTTATTTACATGCCAAGCCTACAATCAACTCTGGGATGGCCGATATTTAAATGGATTGAAACACGATCGCCATTTAATGATTTAATTTAAATGGTGAATCTAGGCTTAGTTTCGATTAACAAGTAACGTTGCTACGGCAATAAACAATCTATGGCACAGCTTGTCAAAACTTCAATCAGTGATAAAGTAATTTGAATGAAATTTTCGATATATTAATTTTGCATTATGTGTTTTTGAACTATTAAAGCAAGAACGGCCATCTCTGTATCTAAATCTTAGATAATGCATCCTTAAATAGGGGATATACGTAATTTATCTTTTTCGAAATTATTGTAAATATCTCAAATTTAGAAAAGTATTTGTTTGTGTATTTTTTATTTATATAAAAAGAATTTGTTTATTGTAATTTCTAACCTATTGAAAAAGTTTAAACATGTGATGGAAGCCGTTGGAAGTAAAAAAAAAATGTTATATTTATTCGGTCTTTCTTACCCAATTAGTTTACATTTTTCTGTTATTTCAGTCTACCTCAAGCCCTTAACTTAACCCCCCCCCCCCACACACACACACTCAACACCCCCAAATTTCTCACATGGACACAATCTGCGTCTTGACCTAATTATAGCACTTAATGCATCCATCATTTAAAATGTGATGAGTAAGTTATGTATAAAAGATGTATGTGTGAATTAAATGCAGCTATAAATTAAATTTGTTTTGTCGTTGTTTGCAAATGCGTACAATTGATGAAAAAACTATTTCTCCCATTATGAAAAACAGGAACTCTTCTAGAGCCGTGTTTAAAATCCGCGGGCTCTAATTACAGTCCTTTCAAAATACTATGCAGTACGGTGGACGGGCTTTTCTGCCCGTGGACATTTCGGGCGACGGTATTTCGGCCTTGAATGTTTTGGCCAGAAGACATTTCGGCCATATTTTACAATGTTTTAAAATTATTTCTGTGAAAAAAGTATTTTGAAATTGAGTAAAGTAAGTTTTAAAAGCATTTAAAGGGAACTCCACATCAAGAAACTTGCAGATTCCGATGTTTGGTGCATGGACGATTACTACGCCATGGCACTTAGTATTTTTATGAAGTTGTGTCATCCGGGGTCGTGTCCCATAAGTGTACGTACTTTTACAAAGAAAGACTCAGGCAACTTATGAGTTAATGTTTTGTTTGTTAGAGGAGCATGGCTGTGATCCATGAACTGTTATAATAGGCTTTGAATGCTCTGTAGATCTTGCTCTTCATGCAGTGAATGTACAACAAGTACAGATTCAGTACTTTTTTGATCACCTCACTCAATCAACTTGGAGATACATCCAGTCACTAGGACTTGCAAACATGTACAAAGAGGACAGCGAGTTCAGACTTATTTAAAAATTTTTTTTAAAAAAATAGCCAACAAAGAAAACATTTGTAGGAGAAAACAAATAAATCTTTCCTCTTTCTAAAAAAAATAAGGTGCCGAAATGTCCTCGTCCGAAGTGTCTACTGGACTAAACGTACTACATTCATGCAGTACCAATCCTACGGGTTAGTGATAAAAAAATCCCCCCCCCCCCTCAATGAAATGGGGTTTAACGTCCTACATTTCCGCAATATACGGTCTAAAGAAGACATAATCCCTCAATGATTTCTCAAGGCTCTGGGTTTTCTATTCAACAAAAACCACCGATTGTATGTTTACGATGAACTCACAGTACCGACCAACATATTGTCCAGAAAGTAAAGAGGAGGTATCGCAGAGATGGGACCACTGGCCGCCCTGTCGGATTGTTCAGTGATATATATGATAGATTATAGCTTATATCTTGAATGTTATCTATTCTGTAAAACTAGCCTGGTACGAAATTATATCTGATAACAAATTAATTATATCATCGTAAATTCATTTAGAATTTTGATTGAACTATTGAACTAAATAATAACAGAATGTGTATCACTAGTCGTGATGGTCGTATTGGACGAGATAGGTCATGATAATGTTTCAACAAGGTTCCTCCTTATTATAGGACTAGCAAAACAACCCTAGCAAGTCTGGGAAAAAAAATCTAGCTCCAGATCAAACAACCTATCAAAACCTGCGATACAAAAAATTGGCAAAATCTTTTCAAACACTGATTAAACAAACATTTGATTGCTTTCTAAGTCATGGTCATCGGAATTAATATGATGACGTCACAGATCTAGGGAGCACTTTTTTAGCTCGATAAACGGAACGAAAATAAAATCGTGTTTTAATTAGACTGTCACAGAAATATGTAGGTATAAGAATTATACATGTACAAGGGCAAGAATAAAATATTAAATAGATAAAAGGTAAAACCGAGACAATAGTTAAATGTACCTTAAACAACCAATAACAATCTGGGTATCCACCTATTTTTATTAATCATGTCTACATGAGTATCACGATTAAAGACTATTTTATATTTCAAAAACATAATAAATGTTATCATAAGATAATAATACCAAAGGTCTGAGTTAGATATCTGTCTTATCTACATTAATGTGTATCATGCTATCTGTCTATCTTCATATCTCTTGTTCACCATAGTTATAGCAGCCCATGAGATGGGAGGTTTCAAAAAATATTTATTTATTGTTTGTGGTAAGTATAATTAATACTTTTTACTGATTATATTACGTTTCCTTAAAAACAAATATTCGGCTTTGAGGCTCATTTACATGCCAAGTAGGAGTAGGCAGTACTGGATTTAGATGAAAAGAGGTACTAGGTTATGCCACGTATGTTTCCCCACCCACTCCCCAAGCCTCAAGATAACAGGCAGATGAAACACAACCGAGCAAAGCCTGGGATGGTGAAAAGCTCACGAAAGTGTCAAAAATACTATACACCTTTGCCGGAGGCCCCCAAGGTCTTCAGTTCCTATAGGCTTTAGCCTGCCAAGCTTGAAGGTATATCCGGCACTGCATGTAGGTCAATAATGGCACTGGGGCTTTAATGGACAATTACTGTGTATTTCACCAATACTAACTCCTATTGCATACGTCTTAATTAAAGTATTTGAAACGCAATTATCAAATTTTTCACTAAGTACTAACAGAAATAGGCTCGACTTATGGGTTGCTATGGTTGTATAAATAAACCCGCGAAGCTACAAACTTGCCCGTTATCTTCAGATATGTACAGAAAGCTAAAAACAACCTTAGATTTAAAGGAAGCCGTTTTGTTAGTTCATAACAGATTTAAATAGTTGGTTTAGTTTTGTCCCAGTTCATTCATTCAAGAAGAGAATGCAGATTAGATACACATAATATTCCGTTTTCGTGTAGCTTTTATTAGTAGTCAGAAATTTCACAAAAACAAATATTACAAGTTAAATCTTTGATCCGTTGCATTCAGAAGACTGTAATTTTGGTGGGTGGGGGTATCGTATTGGCACATTGTCCAGGGACAATTCATTGAAGCATTCCAAAGGTCTCTTGGCAAATGGGACCTTAAGACTAGCTGAACAAGCTACAGTCAGACCGAGTGTTTCTTCCTCGAATTGCACACGTAATCATAGAAATAACGACAATATGTTAGTCTCAAAATAGCCGAAATATTTTGTTGTCTAGACAATAGTTAAACCGTTCTATTTTATGGTTACTATTTTGTTTTATTTATTTATGTTCAGTATATGTAACTGTATATAAAGTATCTGGAGATGTAACACCAGCTTGTGATGATGGTTGGGTAGCTAATGATATATATTGTTATTACTTTAACAACGGAGACAACAGAACATGGGGTCATGCTATTGACGAATGCGAAGTTAAACAGTCACAGTTACTGAGGATTGAGTCGGTCGATGAGTTGGTGAGATTTCTTTTCCATTTGATTTTTACCCGACAAACTACACTTACTCTTTACGCCGGAACATCAGATACCAGTATGGATGTTTTTGTTTATCATCCGGGTAGCTTTGCTTGTGACCTTGGGTTATATCTAATTCCAAACTCTAGTTCCATATATGGCGTGTATGGCACACACTTTCTAGACCACCTGACACAGTGCCAAAATATCTGATTTGAGGACTTCACAAAGGTAATGAAGTTTCGCTGAACTTAGCTGATATTTTCTGTTATCACCCATAAATAACTATGCTTGTGGCCTTGGGTTATATTTGTGCTTGCTTCGGCACATGAATTCCAGGCCCAAACACGCACTTTCTAGAACACCCGATACAACTCCTGAACATCTGATTTGATAACTTCACAAAGTTAGTGAACTTTTGTTAAACTTTTCTTTGTATTGTATGAAGAGTATTATTTGACAGTGGATAAACATGGTCCGAATCATATTTCAGAATTTCCTTAAGACAACATTTCAAGGATATCCCAGTTATGAATATTGGACATCGTTAAATGAACTGCAGCCTGACGGGGACGGTGGAACTGGAACATGGTTATGGGAAAGTGATGAATATCCGTCTGACGACGTTATGTAAGTAGGCAATACAGAAATCACAACCCGTATATATACCGGGGTTCACCTTGCCGTCATCCGATAGAGTTCTGTGTTGTGCTCATATCCAGTCTTATGTTGAGGTAGTGCCTGTCATACGTACCATTACTGTATATCTTCTGTAAGCAGGGTCGGATTAATCTTGCATGGGGGGGGGGGCTGGCTTAAAATGTCACTGGGACCCTTGCATCAACAGTACAATGGGACATAATCTGGTCATTGTCCATTTACTTGGCACAAATATATACAACATAATAAATAAAATCATAATCTCATAAATTATATGCTTTATATAAAACAATTACCGCTAATTTGAGGGCCCTTTAATATTGGAGTCCCTGGCTACAGCACACCCATCCCTTTTAATCCGTGACTTATTGTAAGATTGCACATAATATAACGGTGTTATATTATGGTGTTCAATCACCTGATATGATCTCGTATTCATGGATATTTTTCGTGGATCTATCATAGTATCTCTTTCACGTGTGACTGAAAGGTAATATGAGTATTAAACATCACTAAATCCGACCACGGACAGGCATTCTTACACATATTGGGTTCACTCCCCTCAATTTTATCACTGTGAGCGCATTTTGCTGTAGAAACAGTATTATATTGTTATATTGGGTTTCGGTTTTGAACGTTATCATAAACGTACATTGGTTTTATTTTTAGAAAATGGGACACAGAACCCGACAATAGTGACTATGAAGATTGTGGTGCCATCAACATTCAGGCAACGTTTAGTGATCAAAAATGTTCAGTTAAATTCCCATATATTTGTGAATCCGATTATAAAGATGATGGTAAGTATTAACTTTGGGCAAGTCTTTCTGCGTGACAAATGTTTCAATACAACCTTAAATTAATGGTGTCCACATTTAATATCCCAAAGTCTTTGAATTCTAGAAGCAGAATCCATTTTCAATACAACTATCCGGAAGTCTTCCACTTTCGACACGACAGAGTGAATTTATTTGTAACCCAGCCTAAAAGATTTTTCAATTTCTACTATCACATCCTAGTGTCTTCCGTTGCCTGCATCATCATAATAAATTTGTTCAATCACATCAAAGTCGTCCAAAATCGGTACCATGGTCGATCAACCACCCTAAGTCACATGCAAAAATGACCATTAAGTTGTTCAATTGCCACCAACAATTCTAAAAATATTTATTTTTATTTACAGTCGGTTGTCCCCCATTCTGGTTGCAAGGGCAGCAAGATTGTTTCTACGTCAGCAATAGTTCAGATCCATCTCAGATGGCAACATGGGCGCAAGCAAAAAAGAATTGTGCTGGAATAAATTTTTTTGGTGATGCTTCTGTTTACACTCATTTGCTAACATTTGACGTTGAGGGAGACACCGTAAGTATATATCTTAAATTCATTATACTATTTTTTTAGCCCGATGAAGTAAAAGAGTATCATGTTAACTCGTATAGTCTTATATCTGAACCAGGTGGTATTTTCTGTCCGCATTTCTGTTTGGTCCAAACGCGCAACTTGCACTAGTGCAGTACCGGATCGAGATTGGGGCATAGTATTGGGTGACTTTATACGATGTAGTCTCTTTGAGAAACTTTGACTCTAAATTGTCGTAAGAACGCCAGTAACTTGAGTACGTTTGCAAGGTAAAAATCGGGTACAATAATACTTCTTTGTCTTGTAATATTCGCGGAATTTGCCCGCACTTTTGTCGCATTAGTAATATATATTTTATTATATTAATCACAGAACTCGGCTCTAAAAATAAAGATAATGTAAATCTGTTTACCTATTTTCAGGATTTTCTGAGTAAGTCGTTACCTCAATGGCAGAAAACAACAACGTTATTCTGGACTGGTTTAAATGATATCGCCCAGGAAGGAAAGTGGGCTTGGGATTCGAAAGTAGCTTTTGATCCTTCTTTAGTGTAAGTTTCCCCGTTTTAAACAATTACGTCATCTACTTAGTTCCGGTTGCATGAATCGTTTTAAAACATCTTTTCATTGAAATCAAAACAGATGAAACTTTTACTATCAATGCCAACTGTCATGTATAGCCTACCATAATTCCAGAGGTCCATATCAAGTAATTCAAGTAAAACAAAATGTGTCGGTTCTGTCAACTTTCTGCTTAAAGATACATTATGGAAGATTAGATAAAGTGTTGGGTGTTCTTGCTATAATAGTTAAAAATAGATAACGTAAATAGAGAATTATGAATATTGCTCCACTATGTACCGAGATATTCGCTTTTGAATTTTAAGCCTAGCCTCGGTCATCATTACTAAAGGCGGTACGATAAAAACATAGTCTCGATAATCCTTTTTTGGATTTAAACATCAATGAGCGTTGAGCCTGCAGATTGAATTCCAATTCAGTGAAAATCCGACAAATAAGATGATATCATGAGTGGATTATGGTTTGGATAAGTTAATTAATGTCTAATTAATAATTTATATAACATTTCAGGCCTAAAGAAATTTTGCCCGGACAGTGGAGCTACGGCCTATTCTTATTTCGAATTCCATCTGTCAGGGGTCCTTTTACGCCAATGTACTTGAAAAAGGAACTCCTGCGTAATGTTTGTAGAATTCAGTCTGCATTGGCAACTTTCGAATTCCAAATGTCAATGGTTCTTTTACGTGCATGTCAATATGTACACGGGATCTAAGTTTTTCGTGTCATCCGAACGACTAGACAGTTTGTGTGTTGTGTCACTTAGTATGTGGCCAATGCTTGGAGATTGCCATTATGTGACGTGGGATACATTTTCATATCATTATCATTAAAGGTAATTTCTTTTTTGTAGAAAATGGACGCAGGAACCAAATCACCTTGCTGGTGAAGAGCACTGTGCAGTTATAACAAAAGAAGGGACATTCGCTGATAGAAACTGTAACTCCGCACGTAATTTTGTTTGTAGAAAACCACAGGATTTCAGTAAGACTTTTTTTTAAGTACTATTAGCCACTACTAAAGGCTAATTGGTCAATCTTGTTTATTGACACAAAGCCAACCGATAATCTGATAATTAATTTAAATGCTCTCAACCAGTTATACACAGAAACTCGCCAATCTATACAACCATGAGGGTCCGGAAAATAATGTCAAAGAAACTAAACTCATTATTTTTCATAATATTTGAAATTAAATACACGCATTAGAATGCAATACTGACCCAGTTCAATCAATATTGATGTTATGTGCTGTGAAAATATGGGATCCTATAATATCAAATATTTATCACATTTATCTTTTTCGAAATTATTGTAAATATCTCAAATTTAGAAAAGTATTTGTTTGTGTATTTTTTATTTATATAAAAAGAATTTGTTTATTGTAATTTCTAACCTATTGAAAAAGTTTAAACATGTGATGGAAGCCGTTGGAAGTAAAAAAAAAATGTTATATTTATTCGGTCTTTCTTACCCAATTAGTTTACATTTTTCTGTTATTTCAGTCTACCTCAAGCCCTTAACTTAACCCCCCCCCCCCCACACACACACACACTCAACACCCCCAAATTTCTCACATGGACACAATCTGCGTCTTGACCTAATTATAGCACTTAATGCATCCATCATTTAAAATGTGATGAGTAAGTTATGTATAAAAGATGTATGTGTGAATTAAATGCAGCTATAAATTAAATTTGTTTTGTCGTTGTTTGCAAATGCGTACAATTGATGAAAAAACTATTTCTCCCATTATGAAAAACAGGAACTCTTCTAGAGCCGTGTTTAAAATCCGCGGGCTCTAATTACAGTCCTTTCAAAATACTATGCAGTACGGTGGACGGGCTTTTCTGCCCGTGGACATTTCGGGCGACGGTATTTCGGCCTTGAATGTTTTGGCCAGAAGACATTTCGGCCATATTTTACAATGTTTTAAAATTATTTCTGTGAAAAAAGTATTTTGAAATTGAGTAAAGTAAGTTTTAAAAGCATTTAAAGGGAACTCCACATCAAGAAACTTGCAGATTCCGATGTTTGGTGCATGGACGATTACTACGCCATGGCACTTAGTATTTTTATGAAGTTGTGTCATCCGGGGTCGTGTCCCATAAGTGTACGTACTTTTACAAAGAAAGACTCAGGCAACTTATGAGTTAATGTTTTGTTTGTTAGAGGAGCATGGCTGTGATCCATGAACTGTTATAATAGGCTTTGAATGCTCTGTAGATCTTGCTCTTCATGCAGTGAATGTACAACAAGTACAGATTCAGTACTTTTTTGATCACCTCACTCAATCAACTTGGAGATACATCCAGTCACTAGGACTTGCAAACATGTACAAAGAGGACAGCGAGTTCAGACTTATTTAAAAAAAATTTTTAAAAAAATAGCCAACAAAGAAAACATTTGTAGGAGAAAACAAATAAATCTTTCCTCTTTCTAAAAAAAATAAGGTGCCGAAATGTCCTCGTCCGAAGTGTCTACTGGACTAAACGTACTACATTCATGCAGTACCAATCCTACGGGTTAGTGATAAAAAAATCCCCCCCCCCCCTCAATGAAATGGGGTTTAACGTCCTACATTTCCGCAATATACGGTCTAAAGAAGACATAATCCCTCAATGATTTCTCAAGGCTCTGGGTTTTCTATTCAACAAAAACCACCGATTGTATGTTTACGATGAACTCACAGTACCGACCAACATATTGTCCAGAAAGTAAAGAGGAGGTATCGCAGAGATGGGACCACTGGCCGCCCTGTCGGATTGTTCAGTGATATATATGATAGATTATAGCTTATATCTTGAATGTTATCTATTCTGTAAAACTAGCCTGGTACGAAATTATATCTGATAACAAATTAATTATATCATCGTAAATTCATTTAGAATTTTGATTGAACTATTGAACTAAATAATAACAGAATGTGTATCACTAGTCGTGATGGTCGTATTGGACGAGATAGGTCATGATAATGTTTCAACAAGGTTCCTCCTTATTATAGGACTAGCAAAACAACCCTAGCAAGTCTGGGAAAAAAAATCTAGCTCCAGATCAAACAACCTATCAAAACCTGCGATACAAAAAATTGGCAAAATCTTTTCAAACACTGATTAAACAAACATTTGATTGCTTTCTAAGTCATGGTCATCGGAATTAATATGATGACGTCACAGATCTAGGGAGCACTTTTTTAGCTCGATAAACGGAACGAAAATAAAATCGTGTTTTAATTAGACTGTCACAGAAATATGTAGGTATAAGAATTATACATGTACAAGGGCAAGAATAAAATATTAAATAGATAAAAGGTAAAACCGAGACAATAGTTAAATGTACCTTAAACAACCAATAACAATCTGGGTATCCACCTATTTTTATTAATCATGTCTACATGAGTATCACGATTAAAGACTACACTGAAAAAACACTTGTGTTGGATCTCAACACAAGTACTTGTGTTAAAACTAATCTACACAAGTTATGTGTTGTTTTGCATTGCATTAACACAAACTTGTGTCGATTTATAAAATCTTGTGTGTTTTTTCATATCATTAACACAAGTAATGTGTACCTTCCACGATTTGTTTTCTTTTTAAGAAAAAAACTCCATACAAAGTCTGAATTCGGGAGTCGTCAAGTTTTAAGAAAAGTAATAAAGGGCTTAATTTACATCTCGAAAATCACTGGAAGGGAGTGAGTACCAATTAATCAGACAATTGCCAGACAGACTTGAATGTTAATTGGTGTTAAGTTGTCTGTATAGTTAAAATGTCTGTCTTTTTTTATTGACCCAATAAACTGATAGACCAAATGAATATATAGTGTACATGTGATTTTCAGCACCCTGGTGTTTTCGAAAATTGATTCAATGTGCAATGAACAAAAAAAATGAGTAAAACTCTTAATAATGTAATTGGTTGATGTAATCGAAATTGGACAGTATTGGTTAACTGAAAAGTAACCAATCAAATTTAATTGATCATCCACGTGTATCTCATAATCGACTTATTGATATAATGGTTCTCCAAGTTATCTATACTTTTTGTCTGCGATATCACTTCGGTGGAAGCGGGCGTAAAATACAACTAACTAAGAAGAAGTATCTATACTTTAGTCATTGCGACAAATTCTTTCTTTGATATTATATCAGCGACATTCAGTTAGATGTAGTGACGTTAGCATCAACAGAGTGCTTTAGCCGTGATATTTTTAAAAAAAAAATTATAATGGTCACATAGAATACCAGACCGCAGGTTTGTAAATTTTTACAAAAAATAAAACCGTGTATTTAATTTAGCATGTATATATTGCTTCTATGTATATAATAATTCGTTTCGTTTAAAACAGTCAGATTTAGAACCACTGCCACTGACTGCACCGAAATTCTATTTATATAATGGCGCCACAAAGAAATTTTTTTTGATGTGTTCTAAAAGTGTTCCGCTAATTCAGCAATCTAATGAATCTGTCTTAATTTTTCTGAAATCGTGCTTAATTATTACCCAGCGGGCACGCAACGTTGTTACAACATTGTGACAACGTCAATATTGGTCGTGACGTTGTACAACGTGTTTTCGACCAATATTCGACGTTGTATTTACGTCATATACAGGTTGTTGACACAACGTTGTCACAACGTCATCAAAACGTTATCAAAACGTCATATACAGGTTGTTGTCACAACGTTGTCACAACATTGTCACAACGTCATCAAGACGTTATTCTAACGTCATATACAGGTTGTTGTCACAACGTTGTCACAACGTTATCAAAACGTCATATACAGGTTGTCGTCACGGCGTTGTTAAAACGTTGTCACAACGTTGTAACAACGTCTTCAAAACGTTATCAAAACGTCATATACAGGTTGTTGTCACAACGTTGTCACAACGTCATCAAAACGTTATTCAAACGTCATATACAGGTTGTTGTCACAACGTTATCAAAACGTCATATACAGGTTGTTGTCACGGCTTTGTTACAACGTGGTCACAACGTTGTCACAACGTCTTCAAAACGTTATCAAAACGTCATATACAGGTTGTTGGCACAACGTTGCCACAACGTTATCAAAACGTCATATACAGGTTGTTGTCACGGCGTTGTTACAACGTGGTCACAACGTTGTCACAACGTCTTTAAAACGTTATCAAAACGTCATATACAGGTTGTTGTCACAACGTTGTCACAACGTTATCAAAACGTCATATACAGGTTGTTGTCACGGCGTTGTTACAACGTGGTCACAACGTTGTCACAACGTCTTCAAAACGTTATCAAAACGTCATATACAGGTTGTTGTCACAACGTTGTCACAACGTTATCAAAACTTCATATACAGGTTGTTGTCACAACGTTGTTAAAATGTTGTCACAACATTGTCATAACGTTATCGAAACGTCATATATAGCAGTTCGAACCTTGACCTCTGATTGTCAAACCAAGGTCACCACGAGACTCCCAGGGGTCAATTTAGTTTAAATAGCCACGACCTCAAGGTCGTCGGATCCGATTTGGGATGGGCGAGTTATCTGCCCTTAGACCACACCGCTGTAATGCTCGGCTATTTCACTTTCTAGGGAAATTTGCCCCAAAAATGTCATTCGATCGCCCCGGGGTTTGGTGACCCGATAGACTGACCCAACATTTGTTCTTCATTTTTTAAAATCGCCAACCAAAAGTCGTGACCTTGACCCGCTAGGGGCCCCGGAAGTATTTTGGTTTTTGAACCCTAGGGGCCCATCTAATAAAGTCAGGACCACTGGACCTTGACCTTCCAAAATGTCATCTTGGTCCACATGACCCCGGTAGGTCAAGGTCATCAGAAAGTGTCAAGGTCACCAAAATATCTTATGAGTTCGATGCTCCCGGGCACATGGTGGGGCCCCTGGTCTGCGCGGCAAATCAAAGGTCATGACCATGGATAGGCAACTCATTGACCTTTCGAATGGGGCCTTGACCTTTGACCTGACCCTTGACCTTGGGATCGAAAAAGTCCCAAAACTTCATGAACAACCCAGATATCACGAATAAATCTCAAGGTCAAAGTCGTGACCCGCACCCGCAAGGTCAATTTTGGGGTTGTAACCTGAGTCAAGGTCATGACATTGC